TTGCACTGTTCTATCTTCATTTTTCCCGGTCTCGTTTGGCACTTCACGAGATGCCGGATCGGCATTCCGTCGATGAGTTTAACAAATCGGAAAGAATTCTTAAAATAGAAGGGACATGGTACGATAGAAGCTCGCGCACAGGTATATAGTACTTCTTTCTCTTTTCCTTTCTTAGTCATTTTGAAACACTCACCTTGTCTCACTTGTTCTTTCTTTTTCAGATTCTTTTTTTTTTTCTTGGATTAAAACAGGATGGACGAACAGGTTGATGTTTAAAGAAACGTGCTCACTGATAGGGACCTATGAAGAGACAGGCACCTTCACCGTCGATTATATAGAAATAATCCCCACCAGCTTGGAGACTCATCCCACCCTGGATTACAAAGACCCATCGAGACTCTTCTTGGCTCGACCTTACTCATAATTGACTTAACAATCGGGGCTCAGGATTTTTCACGATTTTCACGCGTTTTTTTTTTTGTCGCGTTTATCATTCAAGAAGATAAGTTATTCGTTAAATTATAAAAATTGTTTTTAAATATTTTTTTTTTATATTAATGCGTATTTCCTTTGTTATTTTGGTATCAGTGAGTTGAAGTTGGATTGGTGATTGGTATTTGTATAACCCGGAAGTCTGGATGCATGATTTCTGCGACACACGGTCATTTGAACGGAGTTTATTAAGACGTCGATACAGGTATGATAGGATATTAAATTGATTTAAGATGATTGTAGATTTTGAAGACGGTAGATAAATTAAGAGGAAAAAATTAAATATAATGGATGTGCATGAGAAATGTCAAAGTATCCCTTGATTTATGTTTCATTTTAATATTTTATTTCTTTTATGTTAAAATATTTTTCTCACGTTTGTTTCTTAAAATGTCCTTGTTAATTATATAAATCATTAGAAGAAGCAATAAATGCTATTCACCAACTTTAAAATTTTGAAGAAACATGATAGTTATAAAACATTTTTCTAATCAACAATTATATAGAATAATTTCTTCATTAACAAAGAGAGATAATGCTGCAATTAAAGTAAGATGTTCATTTCTTTATTAAAATCTCTAAATTTTTATGTATCTAATTTTGTTAGGACTTTTTTACAAATGTCAGTCATGAAATTTAGTAGGTCAAATAGTAAGATTATTTCTGTGGTTTCTTAGCTATCGGTTAGGCACGAATCGATAATTGACACTAAAAGAAATTTATTTTCCCTGCATTCCACCGAAGTAAATACATTTTCGTTTATACATGTAAATATTCTATGTAACATGCAAACATCGTCTGGAAGCTTTCCTTTTCACTTAAGTCGTCACACTATTCGTGAAAAATATACTATAAATTGCTTTTTGTATCGCTTCATGTGTAAATTTGAACTGTTT